GGTGGGAGAAAGGGAAGAGAAGAATTTATTAGGCACCTACTATGTGCTATGCACTGTGCTAAGCACTTCATGAATATTATCCCATTTGATCCTTTTAACAGCCCTGGGAGATTGGTGCCGTTATGGCCTCCATTTTACAACTGAGGAAACTGAGGCAGACAGAAATTAAGGGACTTTTCTGGGGACATATGTCTAGGAAGTGTCAGAGTCCAAATCTGAGCTCAGGTCTTCCTGACTCCAGGCCCAGCATTCTATCCACGGTGCCTCTAGAGAGGAACTCTGTTAAACACATTTGGGGAGACCTAGGCATAAGGCATCTTTAAACTATATTTTAAAAATTTCCTCAGAGTTTTACTCTGGGATTAGAGCAACAAATAAAAGAAAGACAGTAGCTTCCTTGGGCTCAGACCGCCAGGATCAGATATGGGTCCGTAAGAGTCCAGTGTCCTTGGGAATATTTGGACCATGGTTGACACATTGGAGATTGTTTGTCGGAGAGTTTTTAAGACAGTGTTTTGTTCTGCTGAATCAAATGCTTTTTTGTAATTAACAAAAAATAAGCATCCTAGGATCTTCTACTTGTAAATGCATTTATATTCTAAATTGCTATTCTGTGATCTTGTATTCACAAATGTGTTTATATTCTAAACTGGTTTTGCCTTTGACTGCCATATCTCTTTGCTACTTGAAGTGCTGGGGCAGCTAGGTGGCACAATGGATAGGGTTTATGTGACCTGGAGTCATAAAGACCCATCTTCCTGAGTTCAAATCTGGCCTGAGACACTTACTAGGTGTGTGACCCTGGGCAAGTCATTTAACCTTGTTTGCCTCAGTTTTCTCATCTGTAGAGGAGGAAATGGCAAACCAGTCCAGTATTTTTGCCAAGAAAACCCCAAATGGGGTCACAGAGAGTCAGCCACAACTGAACAACAACTGTTTGCTGGATAAGGTGGTTTTTAGATATTTTTGGTCTACTCATTGGTTAAACTTCTGAGTGAAGTTGCTATGACTGGTGCCGATGTCCTTTCTTCCATCTATTACCCATATCTTGGACATCAATTTAAGTAAGTCAGATTATAATGATTTTAATTCCACTCCCTAATCTCTCTCTCATTTTTTTTAACCTCAACAACTTTGTATTCATTTTGATCTTTCCTCTAACTAGATGGTAGTCTGATTACACACAGACAGCTAATTTAGGGGTGACTCCCACATTAGCAACAAGCCATTTCCCAATACCAAGTTTCAGTTTTTGTGTTACTTGGCGCTCACCACGTTCGATGCCTATTGATTCTTTTCTCAAAGAAAGTATTCATGAGTGTACAGGGATGAATTTTTTGTAAAGTCTACAATATTTTCCAACATATTTTCCCACTGCTATTGATTATTCCCACCTTTGCATGGAAATAGCCAATGAATATTGAGATTTCATTGGAAGAGTCTCACTAGTTCTTTATAAAATTTCTCTATCTCCTCACCCTTTGTGACAGACAATGGCACACAAGCTGCAGTTATTTTCACGGCAGGCTTTTTGCAAACACGTTTTAGGAGTCCTGCAATATCACCTGACCAAAGGTCCCACAAAATGATGTTTCTTGTTGCCTTGGAATGCCCAGCAAACCAATCCCTCCCAATCCTTTGGTCCCTCCTGTGATCCATCCCTCCACTTAGCTGCAGTTGCCTTTTCTCTTCCAGGTGATGTATTACCATCTGCTTTGCCGTTGACCCTAAGGACTATGGGGTCTTTCCATCTGATTTGCAGGTGAAAGCTCTTCCATGTATTATTTTCCCCTTTATTTAGCACGTGAGCTCCTTGAGAACGTGCGTCTCTGCTTCTCTATTTGTATCTCCAGCACTTAGCACAGGGTTTGAACGTAGAAAGGAAATACTTAACATTTTTTCTTTTATTCATTCATTTATTTCAGTTTGATTAAAAACAAGAATTTCAAGATGAATATGATTCAGTTCTGCTGCTAACACATCCATTAACGGTCATTGGACAAGATCTCACATTTAGGGACCAGCAATTGATTACATTAATATTTATATTACATTAATATTTATTAATGTGATATTACATATTAATATTATGTAATTTCATTAATGTTATATAATGTGCAATGTTATATAATTTTTTTAATGTTATATAGCGTGTAATTACATCTTAAGGTAATATGACATTAATATTTATAGATGATCCCCAAACTGAGTGAATCCTTTTGCTTTCAGCCCCCACTGTCACAGAAGCATAAAGGGGTTGTTCAGGACCAAAGACTATTTTGTAATTTTCCTAGGTCGCTGCCGTGGTCAAAGAATCCATCACCAGCTGGCCAGCCTAGGGGCGATGAAACTGGTCCTCAGACAGCACCGATGGCAAAGACTTTACATCAGTCCTTTTGCTTGTTTGTTTGTTTGCATGGTAGAGGCTGAAGGAGCCTGAGCTCTGCTCTCACAGGCTTTGAGTAGCCGGGTCACTTCCACATCAAGGTGAGGCATCAGAGTAGGGCTCTGTGGAAGAACTTGGAACAAAGAATAACAAAAGTCAGAGCTGTGAGGGACCTTCTCAAAGGATCACACGTATGCTTGTGTGTATAGGAGTTTTGTTTCCTCCTAGGAAAATTTGAACTCCGTGAGGGCAGGGACCGGTTTTCATTTTGACTGCGAATCCTTTATGTCTAGCCGATGCCTTTCCCATATAAATATGCCAAAATGCTCCAAAAATGCCCGTTGGAATCATCGGGTTGGACCCAACTAGTCCGGCCCTATCATTTTACAGGGAAAGAACCTGAGGCACAGATCGGAGAGATGCTTTGCCCACGGTCACTCAGCCCTTCCATGAACGCATGGTTATGAAACTCTTGGCTAGGAATAAAACCCACGGTAGCATCTGTCCTTCCCTAACGCCGAGTGTCACCCGAGTACCTGGGCTTACTCAAATGCACAGCTCTCTGACTGTTTTTTTAAACAACTTCAGGCCAACCCAGCCGTGCGGCCAAGACTTAGAAAGGACAGCAGCCACAAGAGCTAATGAGCCTCGTCATGCCGAATCGCGTGAACTTCTGACTCGGCTAAAAATTAATCATTCCAAAACAAGATCAGGGATGTCAGAAGAGAGGGGCAGACCCCGGCCGAGGTGGGCACCCAGGC